AGGTTCCTGGTCTCCTAAAGTATGTGATTTAAGGTAATATGCTAATAAATGTAGGCTATTTTGAACAAGAATAAGATATTAAGCAATTTACGCTCCTTCAGGACGACGAATAAATACTGGGACCAGCAAATATTTTGGTTATAACAAAAAAAAAAAAACTCCAGGAGAGATACATAACTTTTATGAATATACTTGGATCATTATTAGTGTAAACATTTCTTGTACTCAAATTGTCGAATTCATGTTCATAATTTTACCATTAAATGTGGGTGTCCAATGGTGGGAAATTAAGTAATTTGGAATTCATGAAACAAATATTATACCTGTGTATAAACTTTATATGTTACTCATACCAGTTCTCGATGTCGAACCTAGTGGCTTGCTATGCATTGTGCAAAAAATATGCCGCGAAAGCTATTGTGATGAATAATGAAATGAAGATATGAGTAATGTAAAAGAAAGTAACAAAATCTATAGCGAAGATAAATATTTATATTATAGACATGTATAAGATGAGTTAATTTTTATATTACTTTACTTCTAACTTATTAATTTTCTTTTGGAAAGTGTGCAGTAATTTGTTTTTGATTATGTTCATAAAGCAAATCAAAAATTTTTCGTACACTGGAATATCATTTCGGCTTTCTTTACATAAAGCAGAGATAAAGTAATGCAACAACAACAACAACAATAACTAAATAAATTGCACATCTACTCAGACTTTAGTATTGTAGTGACGAAAATAAAATATAAGAAAAATTGTTTCGCACGACTTGTAATGATAGCAGTTGCTCAACTGTTTTTCTATTACGCCTTTAGATAATATTACTATAACATATAGCACTATTTAGAGAAGATATATGAAACAACAGAGTAAACGTTTAACACAGTATTAATGTGTCATAACAAAATACAATAACATTAATATAATTTCAATATCTTAGCGTAGCCACAGACGTCAAGTGATAGAAAGATCGTAATGCAAAACTAAAACTCTAAGTTGCTGTTTTGTTGTTTGTTTGTTTTTACACTAGATAAGTTATATTGATTATTTATCAAAATAAAAACAAATTAGCCAATGCTGCTTGAATGCACGAAACAAGTTAAACGTTCCAGGAATATACGTAAGATATCTTTTTAAAAACGTTATGGGAGCATCTTTGTACTCACACCCATAGGATTGGCTACTGATTGAAACACAAGATTAAAATGATTATTATTGTGTAATTGCTTTGATATAAACAACTCGAGCGAGATTTCGAAAGATGCCTACCCTAAATACAATTTCTTAAGTTACAACAGAAGTTGGCTGAACCGAAGTGGAATTTATAGTATATACAACAGAAGTTGGCTGAACCGAAGTTGTTATTTAAAGTATATTAAAGCAATACACTGAAGGAATTATACGATCAGTTCACTGCCACATGAATTAATACACAAAAATATAACACTTGGTATTTAGTGGTTTATAGACACACTAACCTTAAAGCATCCCCGAAAGTAAACTCGCTTCACTACAGGCACGGTGGCACTACGAAACTAGAATTCAAAGAAGGAATAGCCATTACAGATAATTAACATGATTTGTTTGTTTGTAATTAAGTACAAAGCTAAACAATGAGCTATCTGTGCTCTGCCCTCCACGGGTATTGAAATCCGGATTCTAGCGTTGAAAGTCCGCAGACATACCGCTGTGCCACTGGGGGGCAAATTAACATGGACAAGCGGTATGAATGAATGATGTCGGCTTGTCTAGTTTTGTTCTTGAAGATCACCTATTGCATAAACAAGTATTATAAAAGACGGCAAACGCTACACTAAAGATCTATTCAGAACGTTTTTATCGTACAATAATATCATTTGACAGCATTGTTGTAGTTATAAAAGTTAATACTTCGAGTTTCCAAATAGAAACTTTTATCGGTTATTTTTTGATATAATGTAAAATATTAACTGGATAGAGTTATACATTTCTGTAAGAGTTTTATTGATACAAGATTACTAACAATTGTTAATTTAAAAAGAGGGAACAGGAATCTTCAAAAACAACAAAAACAAAATAGGTAGCTAAAGTAAAAATGCAACCGCAAAAATTAAACAAACAAGCTTAAGGTGTGAGACATAGTGCTGACATTATTTCTTCCAGCTTTAAATCCCTATTTTTGACTCTCCTAAATATTACAGCTTTTAGACATCGAACATATTAAATACAAGTATAAGACAATGTGTCATAATATAATAGCATATGTATACAAACGAGCATTTTAGATATTTCTTACAGTTGTTATACTTCCTCCTCTTCTTCCTTTCTACTAACCAATAATAAGGCCGGTCACGGTTTTGCTGCAGCTGCCAGATTTCCTTTTAGAGTGACATTCTGCAGACTCCACAAGGTCGAAAACGTGTTAATTAACAGTTATGAATTGGTTATATTAATATATCTCCCCCCTTCCATTTCTGATGGAGTTGGGGTCGTGACACTTCTACGACCTTAAACTCTCATGAGCCGTCGCTGCTGCATACTTTATCTGAAACCAAATACTTTCTAAATAAGATATACAGCTACATAATTTCTCCCTCACTCTCGCCTATAATCGCCACCATTGTAGCCATCTCCTGCTTGCACGATTCTTGCCACTCCTTATAGTCGGCTTCAAGGATGGCTACTCTGTCTGCAGTATCTATAAAATTTGCAATCATTCAGTGTTGGCTATAATTCGACACTTACCATCAGCCATCACCGTGATTGTCGATCCGATGCTTGAAACTTAGCTTGGTTCTACCTTTTAAACTACATATTAAATATTTCTGTTGTGGGAGACATCCTAGACGTTTGTATAACATGGCCAAAATCGATCATGCAGTGGTAAAAAAAAAGAAACTGTGATCCCGTCAGTAGCGTCGTGTCTGAAAGGGCAGGAACCCTATACATAAACAATGATACGCGACATCAATACAGTTGCAACAATAAGTTAATAACCGCTACGGTACATGTGTCATGCCTACCATATAAACATTGAATTACATCGACGGCCTGCACACAGCTATATACGTATGCATCTAGTAGATTATGAGGCTCTATATAAACCAGGGACTATATTAAAATGATTGGCTGTCAACGGTTGTACGGCCGCTGTTATTTGCTAGGTAGTCAAATATACTTATAAACTACCCCACACAATGCGCAATGGTGCGTTTATTAATACTGTCCAGATTTTATTACAATAGTCACAACCATTTTTGCTGGAGGCTGGCTGAAAAATATTAAATAATAATAATTACGGCGATGACCATGAACATGTATAAGCAAAATAAATTATTGAGATATTGATGAAATTCATAATGCCTAATCGCGTTGTCTAATCAAAAATTCGACTGAAACATATTATGTTAATTATATGTAAAAACATGAAAGAAACAATCAATCAAGTCAGTAATATGTGTTTGTGTGTTACTCTATACTGTACATTGAATGGTACGGCTACGTTTACTTAAAGCTCAAACTTGATTCATGTTAAAGTGAAAAAATATAGAATAATAATCATTCAAATAAACACAAGCTGCAAATGTAAATACATGATGTAAAATAAATGATTCAGAATCACAAATAACACGTTTTGTATTTTATTCTGTCATAGTGAAATATTAGGTCGTCAAGGAATTAATGTCGCTTTTTTAGATGAAAAAACCCCGAACAACTTATATATCAAAACAAAACATTTAATAAATGAAATAGTCTCAATTCTTACCGATGATGCCTTTTCATCTTACAATCATGCTGTTAATGGCCTGATTAAAGAAATCACTCAGCTTTGAAGCGAAAAACATGTCGATGTCCTCTTTAACCTTCGACCATTGCATACGTTTTCCCATTAAGATGGTGTTATAGCGAACAAAAAAGATGGTAATCTGATGGTGCCATATCTGGAGAATATGGTGGATGGGGAGAACTTGCCAACCCAACTCCATAACATAATCTTGTGTTGCGTCAAACGTGCCAAATGTGAACGTGCATTGTCGTGGAGAAGAAGAACACCTTTCCGATTAACGAGTGAAGGGCGTTTCTGATGAAGGGCTTGATTTAAACGTTGCAGGTGATGACTATAGATCTCTACATTCACAGTTCGCTGTGGATTGAAGAGTTCGAAATGAATTACTCCTTTGATGTCCCACCAAATGCAAAGCATTACTTTTTACGGATGGGTTTGGGAATCAGAAGTGATTTTGTCTAGGACTGAGCCATTATTTTTGGCGTTTAATAATCGCATAGAGAATCCATTTTTCATCACCGATGACAATTCATGCGCCAGAAGAAACGAAGCAACGTTCACACGTTGGAAACGATGATCATCGGAGAGTTCGTGGGGCACCCAAACACCTTCTTTAAAGAGTTTTCCCATATTCCTTTGATGTTTACGTACTGTTTCATGAGAAACATGCAATATCAGGGCCATTTGACTAGTGTGTTGCTTTGGTTTAGACTCAAGAAACATCTTCAGAGCATCAGTATCAATTCTAACATGTCGGCCCCTGCCATCACAGTTTTTTAGGCTAAACAAAGTCACCTGAATGAAATCTGCTGAACCATCGTTGACACTTACGAACGTTCAAAACATTTTCATAAACTTCTTTGATATTCTTTCTATTCTTTATTAATACTCTTATGTTTTACTCATTAATAAATAGAAAAAAAATATTTAATTAAAGAATTAGAAGCTGATATTGTCGCTTAAAATATACATTCTAATGTAGAAGATACTTCAGGTTGTTTAAAATTTCATTACCGCCTACTTGTTGTTTGTTATTAAGCACAAAGCTACACAAAGGGCTATCTGTGCTCTGCCCACCACGGGTATCGAAACCCGGTTTCTAGTTGTATAAGTCCGCAAACATACCACTGTGCCACTCGGGGGCTTATCGCCTATTAAATTGTTTTAGTTTGGTGAGGATCACTTAGTGATTCACTGTTGTTAAATATGACTATTTTACCCATTTCATAGATCCAGCCAGGGTTACTTATTCGCCAACCATTCAGTATCTTCCTCTGGGATTGTCCGGGATTATCCGTTGCTATGTGAAGGCCAATCCTCCATTTCTTCACATCAAATGGAGTAAAGACAATCGTCCTTTTGATCCAAAATCTCACCATGGAGTGTTCAGTTTAAGTAACGGATCGCTCCAAATCCAGAGAGTTATCCACGAACACCAGGGGTGGTATGTCTGTACTCCTTATAATGCATACGGCACAACCGGCAAGTCAAATAAGATGGAAGTTTTAGTCAGGGGTAAGAAAGTTTAAATTCTGTCTTATGCCTTATGTTTATGAGTCTGTGTTTATGAATGAGTGATGTTAAATCCGTTTCCTCTAATACGTTGATTATTTATTGTGTTATATTCGTGTTACAAAATCGATATGTTATTACATCCAGACATGATATATGTTTTAACGTGACCAATATTTAAGTGCATTTACTACTTATATCTACACTATCCTACCAAAAGTCATGGGACACGGGTAGTTATGAATAAAACACGTTTTTATTCTAAGAAATTAATAGCGTGTTGACCCGCCTTTGGCCTTAATGACGGCTTCAAGATTATCTACAAATTTCTGGTAGAAAGCTGGTGGTATTGTGCTCCATTCCTCCTTTAAAGCATTAGTAAGCTCCGTTATTGAAGAGGGCAATCTTGACCTTGCCTTAATTGTGCATTCCAGTTCATCCCAAAGATGTTCTTTCGGGTTGAGGTTGGGGCTCTGTGTTGGCCACTGCAATGTTCCGATGTTATTCTCTTCAAACCACGCGTTTATAATCCATGCTTTGTGACATGGAGCGTTATCATGTGGGAAGGTGTAAAGGCCGGTAACATAAAATTGCCACAATGTAGGACACACAGAATTGTTCAGAACATCAATGTAGGACTCAGCATTCATGGATCCATGCACTGCAATCAGTGGACCTAGTCCATACCACGAGAAGCACCCCAGACCATGATACCGCCACCTCCAAATTTCACTGTTGGTACAACATACTCAGGTAATAAGCATCATCCAGGAATCCTCCATACCCAAACACATCCGTCAGTCTGAAAGAGCGTGTAGCGTGACTCGTCCCTCTACAGGACCGATGTCCATTGATCCACGGTCCAGGTTCGGTGTGCTTTGCCCCATACCAATCGACGGTGTGCATTTGTTTTTGTTATCAATGGCTTGTGGGCTGAAGCTCTTTCATGGAAATGTATGGCATGCAGCTCTCGATGTGTTGTGGAAACATTTATAGGATTGTCTGTGGCTGCTCGCATCTCGAAACACAGATTCTCTAGGATCTGATGGGGCGATGAGGTAACTAGCCTTCTCAAGGCGCGTCGGCTTCTGTCAGTCAGTATTTTACGCCTACCTGGTCGTTTCTTGAGCTCTTTGTCACTTGTAGACTTCTTCACTATGTTGCCAATTGTCGACTTGGGAATGTTTAATTTCTGTGCAATAGCTCGTATAGACATTTTCCTCAAATGACATCCAACTATCCTGTTAGCTCTTTCCGAGCGAACCACTGATCATCTTTATAGGCCAAACTATTTGCATATTTCGTCATCACACTCATTTCCCCACAATCAGAGGTGTGTCTCATGACTTTTGGTAGGATAGTGCAGTTAAACTTAAAAAAGGCTAAAGGTTTTTATGCTTAACACATTGGCTGCCACATAATAAATTAAGTATAAATAAAATTAAACATTCAAAATGTGCCGAGGTGCAATCACAGTGTCCCAAACTCATATGCCACAAGAGAAATTTGGCTTTGAAACATAATTGTCTGTGACTCACTGGTGTGACACGCGGTCCATAACTAAAAGTCGGTTGTGACCCAGCGGTGGGGCATATAGCAGCCAAGTTGTTAAGCATATCCTCCGTTAGCTCAGAATTTACTTTCACTGAGATATAAGACGCAAAATCCGGTACAGCAATGTTAATAGGTGGTTCACAGAGTTTTACACGTAAATAAGTCCATAAAGAACATTTATAAATGTATCTATTTTCATTGCCTATAACCTTGATATCTTATATGGAAATTGTGCTTTACATATATTACTAATATCACAAATTATCAAAAATTATCTCTCATCTTATACGTGGTCTTCATTAGTGCTTTTTGTTTTACAGTAATATATTTGGTAATATTAAAGCTCAGATATAAGAAAGTTTCGCACAACACGTGCAAACCCAGAAACTCGGTGCCTGTTCAAATTGTTAAATTTCTATCTTGCAATAACAGTTTGTGGAATACTTGCTGGTCAATGTGTCATGGACGATTTTAGTATATGGTAGGGTCTTTAGTTATGTAGTATGGGGAACACGTGTTCTTAAAACTCGTTACAGACGATTTCATTACATGGTACTTTTTTTAGTTATGCAGTTTGTGGAACACTTACTGTTGAAATACCTTAAGCACAATTTCAGTGCATAGTTGTATTTTTAGTTGAATGTTTGGTGGAAATATTGCTGTTGAAATATGTTACAGACGATATCGGTACATGGTAGTGGTTTTAGTTACACAGTTTATGGTGTTGAAATACATTCCAGACAGTTTCAGTACATGGTAGTATTTTTAGTTATTCAATTTGTGGAACACTTGCTGTTCAAATATGTTCCAGACGATTTCAGTATATGATAGTGTTTTAGTTTTTAAATGTCTTTGAATATAAAAACGCTTTTATGGTCTTCATATAAGTTAATAACTTATGATTTTGCACAACAGATGTGTTAGATTAATACTTGGTCATGTTCCAGTATTTATTTTTGTTTAGATCCACCGATATTTACAATAAAGCCTGAGGAGAGGTACCAGCAACGTGTCAACAGCAAGGTTACCATGCCTTGTCATGGTACAGGACAGCCGAAGCCTGACATACACTGGAGAAGGGTGAGGACTTCTCGTTTTTTCTTAAAGTCGCAGTTACAACAACAGCAACAATAAAACAAAACAAAAAATCAATACAAAGTGTCATTGTCTGTGCACATTTATCTTTTTTCATCAAGTAGTTGAGTTTATGACTCGTATAATGTACAGATAACTACTTTTAATATCTTAAATCACTCTATGTTTTAAAAGCCCGCAAAGAAAAACTTAAAAAAAAACTAAAATAAAATAGCAGAAGTAAACCTCTCTCTACGTCTCTTTGAGCATTGAGTATGGAGAATGTTTTTTGGTCAGATAAATCTTGGTAACTATGAATGAATTTTCACTTTACAGTGAGACTCCAATGTCGGTAGTAAAAAAAACAACAAAGATAAAACCTGTATATAACTATGAATGAACTAATTTCTACACAAAAAGACTTTAGAGGGTTTTGTAAGAAATTAAACCTTTTGTTTTTTTAAGGTGTGTAATGCTGTCTGGAGTTTTTTAGACATATTTTCCAAACAATAATGAAACGACTAACTTCAGATATTACACCCCCTTACACTATTTTTATGATCGTAACGTTTTGGCCTCCTGAAGAAGGCGAATGCGAAACACTGATAAAAATCATATAAGCAGTGCAATTAGTCGTTTTTCTATTTATTGAAAAAATATATTTTAAGTCTAGTATATTTTCTTCGTATTTTTTTCATGCAAATGTGATATTATTTATAACCAAATTCACAATTCAAGTAAACTTTAAAACTCTAAAATAGCAAGTCTGTATTCAGGTCCATATACACCTCTAGACATATGTGATCTATCATCAGCTTATTGTGGCTTATGATATAGAACACAGTTTATTAAAACAAGTCAATGTAAATACAGAAATTACATATGAAGTCTGATTTGAATTAATAATTTGTGAGTAATGTTTTAAAATGCACTTGTAGTAAAAAAGAACAAGAGTGCTAATTAACCAAAGATGGATTTTTTTTTATGAAAACAAACGTAAATAGATAAACATCAGTGCATTTTTCAAACATTGTATCGGAAGCTCACTAGATACGCGTTGAAGAATGAACTGCGAATGTTGATATATTTAATTCTATTTTTTCATGTTTTTTTTTATCAAAATCACAGTAAAGTAACACAGTTTGCAGCCACCATAAAATGTATTGAATATGAGCAATATGCTAACAAAATACTTGGAACGAAAAAGCATAATTATATGCAACATGTAGTTCAAACCTAATACCGAAGGCGACAGGAGTACAATAGCATTTTAAAATAAAAATAAAGTAAAGCACAATTATTAAGGGAAGTGTGATTTTCATTAGTACAATAATTCTTTCATAATGACAAAGATTGTTCTTAAACTAATTTTCTGAAATATTTTTGTAAAAAAATGTCCCAAAAATGTTTTGTAGACGGACGGTAAACAATTGTCGAGAGATCGCGCAATCCAGAGCAACGGGAACCTTACGATCCGAACGTTGAAGAAGGAGGACCATGGTCGATACGAATGCGTTCTTCAAAATGACATCGCCATACTTGTCACAAGCACTTTACTTATTGTTGAAGGTCAGTCCTAAACTTGTACTTATTGTTCGTTACCTGATCCTTTACCATGAAATTACCAATATGGTCCGTATGGATCCCATTAGCCTAATAAACATAATGTTTGTTTTTGTTTTCTAAATGAGTTATTCAACAAATGAATTGTGGGCCTATGACTTAGATGGTTACAGAACCCCTAATATATAAATCACACAAAAAATGTAAACAAATATATGACAACAAATCACTAATAATCCTTCTAGTTACTGTTAGAGTCCCCCGTGTAATTTATCCTTTTCTGACACTTCTTTACATTAATTATTGTATCCGACAAAACATAAACTTACTCAATATGATGCAATATCCGGATTCTATAAGTAGTGAGTGGTATAAAAACAAGTCAGTAATTTAGGGATTCAGCTTGTCAATTCTGACAAACCTAAGCTTTCAAAATCTTCAATATTCAAGACATAATTTCAAGAACAATGTTTTTGCTTATAATTTCTTTTAGGAAGGACAAAATGATTACGTTTAATACTTTTGTCATAAAGCTCTCGGTTGTTTTCTATTTTCTCTTAAATTATTTGTATAGGAAAACCTAACAGATAAGTGAAATACGTTCATATATGTATGTGGTTAAATAAACGCATGATTTCATTATATACTATCATCTGTTTGGCGTATTACTTCAAAGAGGGATTAAGTGCATGAAGCAAAAAATTATTCTTATGGATCTCCTAAGTTAACATATATTCTATTATTTTCTACACTTAGTTTCTTTATCAGTATTGGTTAAAATGTTTAATATGTATATATATGATATATATTTCTTACTTATTTTTGTATATTTTTGTATTTTATCATTATAAGGATTATTTTGTACTAATAGTTTAGTATATGGATTTAGAGCTAGCATAAAATGTCTTAAGCTGACTGAATCTCATGACCTATTATTAAGACCGTCCACTCAAAACAAAAGCCAAAAGTCTGTTTTAGCTCCATTAGTAGGTGGTATCTAATAAACACAGCAAAATAAATCGTTACTCGCATTGCATCATTTTATTCACGTGCTGTAAACCTGAACTGACTTTCAGCTTAGCTCCTAATTCACCAGTTTCTTCAGTGTAACTGAGTGGTGATTCTAGATGAATTAGGAGCTAAACTAGATGTAAATGTTTATGTTAGATCGGGATATTGCTAATATTATACACATTATAAAGTAGATTACATGGGAATGGAAAGTGTGATACCTTTAAAGATGATAACGCTTGAAAAATAACCGGTTTTGTTTGTTATCGATTTCGCGCAAAGCTTCACGAGGGATATCTGCGCTAGCCGTCCCTAATTTAGCAGTGTAAGACTAGAGGGAAGGCAGCTAGTCATCACCGCCAATTCTTGGGCTACTCTTTTACCAACGAATAGTGGGATTGACCTTCACATTATAACGCCCCACGGCTGAAATGGCAAGCATGTTTGGTGTGACGGGGATTCGAACCCGCGACCCGCAGATTGCGAGTCGAACGCCCTAACCACCTGGCCATGCCAGGCCTAAATAACCGAAAACAGCAGTAAAACCGGATGACACTTTAGTTTTGATCTGAGCTTTGTGAAAAGAACTCTGTGAACAACAGTGATCAGATGAAAAGGAGAATAGTTTGTTTTTATTTTTATTATTCGATGTCCTAATTCATTTACCGCTGACGTGGCATGCTTTCAAGAATAAATATGTTTTTTTTTGTTTTTTTTACAAATTAAAAGAAGTAGGCAACTGCCTTAGCTAAGTAGAAGCAAATTGAATTTATTGCTTCGTGGCACTATTGCTTAGATTAGTATGCATTGTCAAATTCGCTAAAGCAATTGGCATACGGTATTGTTTTTAGTTGATTCTCTTAACAACGAATAATGGAGAAATACAGATTATTTTGAAAGCCATTTTAAAGTAGATTTTACATCTATGGAAATCAAACGTTGCTAAAGTGTGCACATTAGCTTTCTTCTTTACATTCGTACTACTAAGAAAAAGAATACTTGAAAAATTTATTTTTGTTACCGGAAAAAGATCGAGGGGGTTGAAAATTTTTAAAATTTCTGGAGGACTTGATGTGGCTGTAGATTAAAAGTAAGCAAAGCTGGTGAATGAAATTTGGCAGCCTTGCTCTAGAGGTGCATAATGTTCAGGATAAATAAAACATCTGTCATTTTTAGTTCCGGAGAAAAGTAAAAATAAGCAAATCGTGTGAAGAAAAAAAAAGACTACAGTAGTTTTGTTTCTTCTTTTCCGTTTTATGTAGACTACAAAACTATGGTTTTGTTTGATTACAACCAAATACATTGATATCTGTTAAGGTACTCAAACGATGAATCAATGCATTCTAATCATTACAATCATTTGTTTTATAACGTTGCATTCTCCTAGTTAGACCAGTATATTAAATTAGCTACATTGTTTAATAGGTTATGTTCTTATTTAGTTATCCTGTTTTTATCACAAGTTCTTGATAATAACTTGTCAACAGGTGAGAATTGAGAATTTCTTTAATACTTTGATCCATTCTTAATAGGTACAACCCCACACGCCCCTACCAATGTTACAGTGGAAACCAGTGCTTTTTCGGCATCTTTGAGCTGGCTTCCAGCATATGATGGAAATTACCCACAGTCTTACGTAATTTGGTAAGGACCGTTCAGCGCAAAAAGTGTAGAGTATTTATTTATTTTGAACCTTGTTTTATTTAGCAGCATTGTCCTCTAATGACCCATTTACATTTTTTCATTACTGACTCAAACAATCATTTAACAAATACGTACTTTTCTATTTCATTATTTATATTATACAATTGTTCAACCACAAATCGTTATACTAATTTTGCTTGAATATGGTAATGTTAACCTAAAAATGGTATTTTTTGTACTCAAGATTGGTGGAAACCAAGAAATAAATTATTGTATTATTTAATCATATAAAACTTTTCCTTATGTATTGTGTTTACCATTGCTATTAGTATGAATTGACCTTGTTTGTCTGAAATAAGTTGACGGACAACTGTGGCTACTGCGGGGAATCGAACTCCGGATTTTAGGGTGATAATTCTGTACACTTACCGCTGAACCACCGAGGGACATGCGACATGAATAAGCTTTATAATAGTGATAACGACTCATTTTACTTTTTTTTTACAGAATATTATTCTATTATCATTATTATTTAGCACCAAATTTTTGAAAATATACCTTATTGTTCAAAAGTCTGGAAGTAGAAGCATTTTTACAGACAAAATTAGAACAATCGCACTTATAATCAAATCATTGGCTATAACTACAACAATTATTAAGCTATAAAATTGGAAACGTACAAATGCAATTATAATTTTATTATTTCATCAAAATAGCTACCTTTAGCCTTAATGAGAATCTTGCATATTTCTGCCATCAGTCAGTTTACCAAAATATTCAGTTGCTAAGCACTCCAGGCGCTATGAATATTTAGCCAGATTTGTTTTATACTTATTTTAAACAAGCATCCTTATAAGCTAAACTGGAACAACAAGGTGACCTCCAAAACAAGGTTTGTTTTACCACAGTTAACAGCTCTACCATCTATTGAAATGGTTTGGTAATTCGGGGCAGACGCAGGAAATGTATGCTATCGTAATTTTTAAAAACATATATCTGTCCTGGTTACATCCTCAAGCAGTTTTTCATAACGCCTGCAATGTATATACCAACATGCTAAATAATTAATTCTTCAATTCAGTTTGTATTTTTAATAGCTGCTGTTCAAAGGCTGAATTTCTCTAAGGGCACGTTGATAAGTAAGTAAATTATTCTAAAGATTTAAAAAGAAACGCTGTTGTTTCGTTTGAGTAATATTTATTGTTTGTTTGTTTTGAATTTCGCGCAATGCTACACGAGGGCTATCTGCGCTAGCCGTCCCTAATTTAGCAGTGAAAGACTAGAGGTAAAGCAGCTAGTCATCCCCACCCGCCGCCAACTCTTGGACTACACTTTTACCAACGAATAGTGGGATTGACTGTCACATTATAACGCCCCCCACGGCTGAAAGGGCGAGCATGTTTGATGGGACGGGGATTCGAACCGGCGATCCGCAGATTGCGAGCATGCGCTCTAACCACCTGACCATGTCGGGCCCTAATATTTATTACTATGCACAAACACAGAAACTCATACATATTTCCCCATTATATATCAGAATGTAGCATACAATATGTTTTGTTTGTCGGAATGTTAATATGTTTAAGTGAAATCAGAATATCGATCAATGCAGTTCACATGCATATAACATGAAAGTCACATATTAACAAAATGTAATATTATAATTGCACAGAATAATACACGGATTTCAGTTGTGTTAAGTGACATTTATATTTAATAAGTGAAAAATGAGTACTTTTGAAATGGATTTACTGTTTCTTTTCCCACTATAAAGCTGGTTGTATATGTTAGAAAAACTGTGTTGCTTAGGCTTTGAAAAAACACACAAAGAAACAGGCAACAGTATGGAGATTTAATCAAACGAGTGAAAACCCGGCCATAGAAAGTAAAGTTTAAATAGCCTTGGATTTCACATTTCGCCAGCTAGATACACGAACTGAATTTAGTGATCAGAATGTTAATGAAATCAACAAAGCAGCAAACCTTCGTACCTTATAAACTAGTTTATAGATAGAATAATAATGTCCAAGTCGTGCTTTTTTGATAACAAGAAATTAGTATATTAATTATTATCCAAGAAAATTGATTTCCTTTTGCTATCGCTTAGAACGGAAGATTGTTTGTTTGTTTTGACTTTCGTGCAAAGCTACACGAGGGCTATCTGCGCTAGCCGTCCCTAATTTAGCAGTGTAAGACTAGAGGGATGGCAGCTAGTCATCCCCACCCACCGCCAGCTCTTGGCCTACTCTTTTACCAACGAATAGTGGGATTGACCGTTACATTATAACTCCCCATGGCTGAAAGGACGAGCATGTTTGGTGGGACGGGGATTCGAACCCGCGAAAAACGGAAGAATGCACAAATCGTATACTGAAAACAAAAACATTCTACTAATTCCCGAATTACTTCAGTAGAAAATCAAAAATATGCTTAAAATAACGGAATTTGTGTTATATGTAACAAAAGTTTTGTGTTTGAATAGCTATAACACAAGTTTAAGTGAAAAACAGCAGAATCATTGTGGGCAAATAAACCAGATCAGAAACGTTGAGTTAAGTTTTATACGATATACATACAAACGATAAACATGTGACTGAATAACCCAAAAGTTTATATAAATCAACACAATTTTGAATTGAAAACCGCACTTCTTTTGTGTTGTTAGACAACACACAATATATGTGTATGTATCACTACTATAATATCAGTTGTATTATAGATCTTACAATTCGGTGTTTGTGAAACACGATTTGTGTTGTGAGATAATACAATATTTAAGTTCATAGTATAGTCAATATTATAGTCTTAAGTAACTCTGTATTTTAAACCTAGTGACAATTCACTCTTTCTTTAGCACACTGATAACAGGCGTCTCAGGGTAATATTCACACTTTTTTTCTGCTTTCAGAAAGTACCGATTGTTTTGAAACGCTGACAAATAAGAAGTATTTTTGTATTAATCCAATAGGAAAAACTGTAAAATATTTATATTAAAAAAAATGTAGTCAGTACATAAATTCGACCTATTACATAAAAATACGGTGCTATACGTCTTACTGATTAAGTTAGATGCTACAAAGAATATGCAGCGAAGTAATTATTTCTACAGAGGTTGGATACATCGTATTAAAACGATCCTGGTGCCTCTTTACGTCGTTACAGTTCACGTCTCTCCAAGTAAGGTCATGATCTGACGATCGTGAATTTGAAAATAGCCATGAAGCGTAACTTCCATTTCAAAAGGCTCCGTCCTAAGGCGTGTCATGTTCAAATCACACTTATCCACACTTTGCTTTCGGCTGGGTACAACCTGTTACAGGTCTCTTTCTGGATGATATTGGTGATCTATGTTGATCCACATTTCTTTATTTTTAATGTCATTAAGTACAAGGGATATCTTCTTCTTGGAAACTCTAAATCCCCAATTTGAGCACATTCTTATGACCTGAGTATATAGATATTTTGCGGAAATAGGTGTTATATACTTTGCCAAATGCAATCAGTTTTAGGTGGCATCAAATTACCTACGAAATGCGAAACATAACCAAAATGTAGTTCTGATACAATCCGCTTCATCATAGTGTAATATCGTCCTTGGTTGTCACGTGAATTGCTGATATCTGGATTTACATTTGTTTTAATACAACTCTCTGTGTAATGAAGCCAAATATCACTTTCATATAGACTCTTTAGTAACGTAATGCGATACTATATAGGAAACACTCAGGCATAAAACTGAAACGAGAGTACAAGAATGCATGTAAACAGTTTACACTGATGAGAGGTGTTAGTTAAATCGATTGATAAAGAATTTATCTAAATCTCAGATACTGATAAAGTTCTTAACGTAGGTACTAGCAACATATTAAGTTATATGAGAGAATTGTTCTCTTCCGATGTTTGATTTAATTTACTCTATAAGGTTTAGGTCACAATTTCAGCAACAGTTTTTAGGTGTTTCTGTCTATGACCTATCCTGTAATCAGTCAGGTAATCAAGAGATTGTGACCAAAAGCTTGCGAACGAAATAAATTAGAAAAGAAGAACACGTAGAAAAGAAAACCTCGCTATTATATCTTAATACAGATTATTGATACTTCTTCTTTGTTGCCATCGTTGTCCTTTTTGGTCGGTGGGTTGTTACATTTTATTTAGCATGTTCACGCACACAACTTTTATAATTTCGATCTCAAATATTATTTGATATTTTACCATTTAATTTGTACGATACGAGAAAAGAACAATTTACAACATCATAAACTAATTTATGAATTACTTTTGGTAGAACATTTGATAGAAATGCCTTAAATTAAAATTTATCATACAAAATAATATTTTTCAATCGGTAGTAAAATTGGTAAAGAAAAGAACTTGTTGATAAGAATAAACTTTAATCCCATGTTGCAATGCAGTACATATATTAATACCGGTCCTCATAGAATTTTATACTTATTAATGTGGCCCGGCATGGCCAGGTGATTAGGGCGCTGGACTCGCAAGCTGAGGGTCGCGGGTTCGAATCCCC